ACAGAGAATTGATGTACAGGGGCAAAATCAGATTGCCTTTTACCTACAAGAGCCCATCATGATGGAGCCTTTCTTATCAGAGCTGACAACTGAGTAGAGGGCTTAGTAGCGGGCCAGACAAAGGCTTTAGGAATTACATAAACTGTATAATCAATCTCTGCATATTTTTAAGAATGGTTCGTGTATAAAGTAATTCAAAGCAGCTGGAGCATTAGATCAATTAATAAATCTCAGCAAATCAATAGCTCCACACATACAGGGACCCTCTGTTTTGATTTTGCAGGATGGACTCAATTCACATTACTTCACTCTTTTCCAAGAAGGAATTTCACAAATGTATAACCAAGAGTGATTTCACTTAATTTAATCTTTAGAAAGACTCGTCTTCATGTCTTCACAAGTCAGAATGAATTCTTTGTAGGATCATGCGTCTGAGCGGAGATTAGGAAATTATGTTCAACATACCTAGAGAGGAATTTTAGCTTGTGATCAGTCCCTAACAGTCACTTCAAGAAATTCCTGTCACCATCCATTCCTTTTAAAAATACATTAGTCTTTTGTCACAGCTAAAACCTGGAAACACCTTCAAAGTCCACTGAAAATAATCAGATAGCTCTGTATTTCTGACATGGAAATATCTCCCAAATATACTATTAAATATTAAAAAAGAGACAGAGGACTATGCCTATAATGATGATCCCAACTTTGAAAAAGAAAAAGAATATTTACATGCAAACTCAAGTTTTAAATTGTTTCTGCAAGGATATATAAAAAATTGTTAACAATTATTGCTTTTAGGGAGAAGTACTTGGGATAAGGAATTGAAGAGAAAGGAAACATTTACTTTTCATGTATATCTTTATGCACTGTTTAAATTTTGACCATGCATGTCTATTATTTTTACATTAAAAATCCATTTTACTGAATAGTTAAATTAATAAAATCACTAGCAAAAATGGTAAATCAATTTAAATTATACCAGCTTATATCCTTTTCTCTTGAAGTTGTACTTTTAATGTGTTCTATGAAATTACAAGCTCACCTATACCAAGATGTGAGTACAAGAAAATTATTTGCAACTGCAAACATTTGGAAGCAACTTAAATGCCCGTTGATGGTAAGTTAGTTAAATAAATCATAGTACACCTATACAATGGATATATATATGAAGCCTTAAAAACCAATGAGGTGGATATAAATGTACTAATATGTCCATCATAATAGGAAGTTAAAATAAATCAAATTGTAGAACCGTATGTACATATGCGTATATTATTTTTGTTTTTTAACTATACATACCCATACATACCCATGCATACATAAACACACTTATTATAAATCCACAAGAAAAAATTCTAAAAAAAAAAAACACCTCTGTGGAGAGGATGCAGGGCATGTTTTACTTTATACGTCATGTACTTTTGTACTGTTTGAGTTTATTTTATTCACAACCATGTGTATTCCATTTGTAACCTTTTAAAATAAACAAAAGATGCTTGAAAACTACTCCAAAACTAAATGACTAATGACTAGCACCTTTGCTGTTATTATTATTTATCACTGGTCCGTTTAAACACGCCTGCGACATCTCCATCCATAGTGAATACTTGTTTATTAAACTCAGGTAGGGATCATGGTTTTCAGCAAATGTTCCCCAAAAACTTTGTTCTCATGAATATATAAATACATAATATATAATTTATGTGTAAATAGATTTATTGAGATTTGTAACCTAGCAATATGCTCATTAAAATTTATTTTTAAAGGTCATAATCCTTCTGTGGACCATAAATACCAATTTATTAGGCAAAGGCTGAAGCTAGACATGTTGAAAGCCCTCCTATTTATTCATATAATTGCCTTCTTTTTCCCAGAGGTCATACAGCAAGATGGAGGCAGAGGAAATCCTGAGATGTGCAGTGGTGAGCAGGTAATGACTACAGCTGGTAGCCTAATTTCCCCAGGTGGGTTATCAGCAGCAGCAATTCCCTTCAAAGGAAGCTTCTAGAATAGTGGCTCCTAACCTTTTGGGGACTCCAGACTCCCTTGGGGTAATCCTGCAAGGTGTAGGTGAAAAGAATATGAGCTTTGCAACCGGACAAATTCTTCTTCAAATCCCAGCTCCACTACTTACTTGATGGGTGACCTTAAGCAATTTACTGAACCTATCAGAGCATCTCTTTCCTCATCTATAAAATGAGATAATGGCAAGAACTTAGTCAAAGGCAGCAATTATCATATTGTTTTAGAATATGATGAAAACTATAGACTCTCCACAGGAAAAACAAATCCACCTTGCATTTTTAGAATGGTGCAGACAATTTCAAGGGCTTTGCCCACCCGTCAAGGCCATTCTGGACCTCAGGTTAGAAACCCCTGGTCAAAGGTTTGGAAAGAACATTTGAAGAAACCCCGAATAGTAGAAATAACATTCTCTACTCCTTTTACTGACTGTAATTTTAGGTTGTGTTTTCTTTTACTTGTTTGGATTTTTTTTAATTGGAGTATAGTCAGTTTACAATGTTGTGTTAATTTCTGGTGTACAGCACAGTGATTCAGTTATGTATAGATATAGATAATACTTTTCATATTCTTTTTCATTATAGGCTATTACAAGGTATCAATATAGCTCCCTGAGCTAGGCAGTACTTTTGCTTGTTTGTTGTATTGTATGTATTATTTGTATATTATGCCTACCAGGATTTAATCAGACCAAGAAGATAGAGTGTACATTAAAACGTGTACAGAAACAACATGGATAATATAGCCAATATTTTATAATAATTATAAATGGAGTATAAACTCTAAAAGGTGTGAACCACTATATTGTATACCTGTAACTTATATGCTATTGTATAGCAACTATACTTCAATAGAAAAATTTAAACTAAAAAAAGTGTACAAAAGGGCAAAATAAATGAAGGTTGTCTAACACTTTAACACATCAGTTCAATTTAGCCATTTACCAGCAAAGTTGTAGGAAAGGCCGCAGCAATTCACTGGCCAGTTTAGGTTTTCAAAGACAACTGCTAAGCATTTGGATTTAATGGAGCCATACTTCTGGTTCCTTAGATCAAAGATAAAGTTACTTTAAACTGCTTTGAGTGAGTGGTCCAGTCTTAACCTACTAGTCCCTAGTTCAGTGTTGTAATCAGAGCCAGCTGGGACTCTTCTCTTTTATTTTCAAGGCTTTAGAAAATAGAAAAACCAAATACCTTCAGGTAGTAACTCAAAGGAGCAGCTTTCCTGTTCCTTTGCATTACTCTGGTCTCAAAGAAACACAGAAACCCCCAAACCCCCTGAATGTGCCTCTTCCATTAACTCAAACAGAATCCAGACTGTTGGTGAAAGCACACCTATTAGGCGTGGATGCAGTCCCCATTCTCTTGCTACCCACTTCCCAAATCCATAAGAACAGTAAATAATATTCCTCCAAGAATAAGTGAATATTTCCAAAAATGAGAAAAATAATCCTGTCTCGATGCTATTATCACTGACTTTACCCAGGCTTCAGGACTGCTGCTGATGGAGAAAATTGGATTTGAGGGAAGAGTGGGGTTGCAGAGAGAAAAACAATCTTGTATTTCCTCCTAAAAACTGTAAAGGAGGAGGAGATTACATGTGTAATTCCAAAACCCAGTTTTCTTACAAGAATTCCATTCCAAACAGTTCTTCAACATCATCATTGCTTTCAAAAAAAAATGAATAGGTTTATAAATACTATTCCCCACTGAAAGGAGGAATGTGGCTCTTTGGTAAAATTCTTGGGCCGATTCTTGGGCTGAGTGAGAAAAGTACAAGATGAGCCCATAACATCTTGCTGTGCTAGAAAGTAAGGAAGGGCTCGAAAAATTCTTGGAAGGTGTCAAAAGGACACAAGAGCCAGATTGAAGGACTCCCACTGGCCAAATCTGGGCCAGTTTGAGCATGAAAATAAATGACAGTAACAGATTGTAACCCATTGAATAAAATAAGAATCAATGAGTTTATGCTGATAGAAACACATAAACAACTGAAGGAATAAATAAGCAAATGTGCAAGAAGAGAGCACTCTTCCTTACAATAGAATACCAATTAATAAATGTAGAAAAAATGATGGAGTTTTAAAAATCATCATTTTGCAAGCTTCATAGTAATAAGTGATTGAGGCAAGAATCATCAATAGATGTAAAACTACTGGGTGAAAGTTTCATAAAAACAGGATATTGACGCAGCCTCCAAATATCTCCCTGGAAATTACCTATTCCAAACTACAAAGAAAAAAATAGTAACTCTGCAGCGGAGAAATCTAGCAATCATCGAATCAAGTAATCAAAGTTATCATCACCGGTAATGGAACAAACTGGCATCATGAAAGACAAGGAAAGACTAAGGATTCCTTCCAGATTAGAATCTAAAGAGACAACTAAATGCAATGCATGATCCTGAATTGGCTCTTGGACCAAGTGAGAAAAAGGGAAATTATTAAGACAATTGGCTAAATTTGAATATGGACTATGAATTAGATATTAGTATTGTATCAATGTTAAATTTCCTGATTTTGACAACTGTACTGTGGTTATAGAAGAGAATGTCCTTCTTCTTAGGAAATTACACACAGATATTTACGGGAAATGAGGCATTATGTCTGCAACTTAATCTCAAATTATTAAGAAACAATATGTGTGTGTGTGTGTGTGTGCAGAGGGAAAGAGAAAAAGAGAGAGGGAGAATGATAAAACATGTGGGGAAAATGTCACAGTCAATGAAGCTGGGCAAGACTATACAGAGCTTCTTTTTCCTGTTGCAATTTTTTCTACAAGTTTGAAATCATATCAAAACACAAGGCAGAAAGTACTATTTGCTCTATATTAAAAAGTAGACAACAAAACTGTGGCAACCTTGAGCCCCTCCGAGGAAGACAGAGCCTGGGTCTAGGAGTGGGTTATTTGGAGTAGTGAGCAGAAGAGTACCAAGTCACTAGTACCCTTGCTAAGGAAGACAATTCTTAAGTTACTCACAGCAGCGCAGTCTCACGTCAAAAGTTGGAATGATCTTGTTGACGAGCCAAACATCTTCTTCCCAACTAACCACGTTTCCACTCAAACACTTCATAAACTCTTCATTTCCCAGGATGTGGTCCCAGAGTTGAAAATAGTACAAACTGTTGGTGAACCTAGGAACCATGCTTTTAACCTGGTTGTCCCCTTTCTTGAGAAAATGTCCTAGAACCAGAGTCCCATTAGGCGTCAAGTGTTGTGGTTGATCCTTCATTACCAGTATCCTTTCTTTATTCAGGAAGAGCTCTAATCTGCCCTTCACACCATCCCATATCAAGCATATTGTGTGCCATTGAAATGGAGTCAATTGGTAATGGATGTAAAAGGTCTTGCCCAAGTTGTACACTATTAGCTGCTGATGGTCTCCTGCAAGTCCAAGGTCTATGTCTTCTCTACCCAGAAAGGTGTTATTAGTAATATAGGAGAAGGCCATCCAACCACTTGATTTGCCACCCACAAATACCAGGTCAATGCACACGGTGAATCGACTGAGTTCAGGAATGGTGGTAGCCAGGCTTACATAGGTGTCAGCTCCTCCATAAAAGTCCAGCCTTTTTCCTTTTAGTGAAAGTGCGTCTGCCCATGTTTGGGGAAGGGAAGGGAAAAGAGAAAACAAATGAAATTTCAGTAACAAAAAAAAATCAATTTTATCATCTTCTTTAGCCATATAGTCAAATCCAGGTTGTACAATATTATTATGAATCAATACTGGTACAAGTAAGCCAAAATAGTAAATATACAAAAATCATCTCTATTTGACATTGACATGTGACCTTTTTTAGGCAGAAGAGCTTCTTCCTACTTATATTTTGCCTGGGCTAATATGAAAAGTTAGTTTAGTGTTCCCAGAGCACACACCAACTGAACAGTTTGGGGAGGCAGTTAGAAGTGTGTGGTTAGTGGTGGGGGTAGGGGGGAGACCAAGGAAAAGGCAGCTTGTACTTAAAATTTGCTGCACATGATCCTCATTCATATAATAAAAAGATGACTATTTCCATCTACCTAACTGCCTTATTATATTCACGGTGCAACAGCAATTTATTTCTCCAATGCCTTTTCCTGAGCCAAATTACCTGATTTATTCTGTCTCTGGAGACTGCTTCTCACTGAGGCACTGACAGGGGCCTGAAAGATGGACAACAGCGAAGCTGCGGGGCTTCTGTTTGCATTCAGGACTGGGAGCAACAGCCCTGCCGGGGTGTATCCTGATTCCCTCCTTCCATTTCCTCACTAAGGGGGCTGTAGTAGCTTTAAGAGGCTCAAGATGGCCATGGGCCTGGTTACCATTGGCCCTGGAGTCAGACAACCTGGGTTGGAATCCTGGCTCTGACGCTCAAAAAGTGGGTAACTTTGAGCAAGTAACATAACCTCCTGATGCCTCAACCTTTGCTTCAGTAAAATGGGATTTCAGGGCTACAGGATCATATACATACACAGTTCTAAGGGCCACTTCTCTCATCTATGCCAAATAACACTCCTACCTACTGACCTTACGAGATTGTTTGAAGATTGAGATGATGTATGCTGTAAAACATTGCTGAAGGACACGTCCATTGGTACAGTCTTTTGGTGGGCAATTTGGCAATGTCTGTGAAAATTTAAATTGAGTGTGCCCTTGGTTTCATAGGTATCTATGGATGAATTGTGATACTATCACCATTGCAAACCTCACAACACAGGCCACTAGAGAAATATCTGAGGATTGCCGAAAATCAGCCTAATTCTAGTCCCAGCACTACCCAAGACAGACCAAAAAGAGCTTTACGGCAGAATGGAACGCCAACCTTCCTCTGAATTAAGGGTGTAATGTTGCGACTGCCACTGTAAAACTGACCGCACACTACAGAGGCTGACAGGCAGTGACAACTTCCCTGCTTCTGGGAGATGTCCCCAAATGAAAGCTTCTAGCTAGTCCCTAGCCCTACAGTATTCTCTCCCTCCATTCCTCCATTGAACATCTTCCCAAAGCAAACAAATACGTGTCTGCCTACACACACACTCACCTGCACAGACACGCACCCAGGTGCCAGAACTCATAGCATCCACCTGCCAGGGAGCTATTTCTAGTGCTCATTTCTGTCCTTGGCTTCTGTGATTATATTATTTTATCATCATTCATGTGGCTAATAAATCAAGAGTTAATCTCACAAGGCAATAATTGGTCTGAAACCCAAGTCTCAATTATGGTTGGTTAACATTGCTTTTCTGTTCAGCCCTCCAAAATGACATCATATACAACATTTAAGAATGGGTTTTATGATGAGCTTTAATCTCCAGGGCTTATTTGTCCCTTAAAAGAGAATGTATCATAATCACACATAGTCTACAAGGGCCTCTACCGTCTGCAATATGCTAATATAAAACCAGTTGTCAAAGGACATGAAGAAGAAACTTCCTAAATCAGAAATATAAAAAGATGGCTTCTCACTGTTTTTAAAACACACATTGGAATGATAATAAGATACCATTTTTACCTTTTAGAATGATAACACTTTAGACTGATAATACCCAGCATTGGCAAGCCTATGGGGAAACAAGTCATTCTATTTTTTTAATTTTTTATTGAAGTGTAGTTGATTTAGAATGTAAGTCTCACGTGCAAGGCAAAGTGATTCAATTATACATATACAAACATATATTTTCTTTTCAGATTCTTTTCCATTAAATGTTATTACAAGAAATTGAATATAGTTCCCTGTACTATACAGTAGGTCCTTGTTGTTTATTTTATATGGAGTAATGTGTGTCAAAACAAGTCACTTTAAAACACTGCCGGTGGAGTACCGATTAATACAGTCTTTTTTTTTTGAAGGCCAATTTGCCAATATCTATGAAAATTTTAATTGTATATAATTGTGTATATGCTTTTGACCTGGCAATTACATTTCTATCAATTTATTCTAGGCAAATATACATGTGTACAAAGATGTAAGTACAGGATATTTATTGCAGCATTGTTTGTAATTGAGAAAAAACAGGAAAATCTGTGTGTCTATCAATAAGTGACTAGTTAATTGTTACCTCTATACAATGGAATAGTAAAACAAACAAGGTAGATCTGTCATGGGGAGATTTCCAAGGCTTAATATTATGTTAAATGGGAGTTACATAAGTATAAATATAGTATTACTCTATTTAAAAAGTAAGAGAAAAATGTGTGTGTTAGCATACACTAGGAAAAAAATCTGGGAGAAAACACACCAAACAGTTAAGAATGAGTATCTCTAGGTTTGAGATTGAGGGGGGATTTTTAATTTCTATGTTACTTATTTCAGTGATATTTGCATTTTTATAAATTGTGTTTTACATTTATAATCAGAAAAATAAAGATGGGTGGATACATAGATCGATCCGTAGGTAGAAAGAAAAAAATGACTTGTGGCCATTCTTGAGGTCCTGCAGGCAGAGGGAAGTTCTGCTTAGATCTGAGCAGAAGTGTAGTGCAGTGGAGTCCAAAAGGCCATATTTAAGTCCCAGGTCTGCCCCTTCCTAGCTGCGTGAACATGGGAAATGAATGCATGTGAAAGCTTTCAGGACTGTGCCTGGCATATAGTGAGCGCTGTATGAATGTTAAATAAGCAAGCTCGGGCCGCTTCCCTGGGCCTCGCCCCTCACAGTAAGATGGGAGTACTAATCACCTGCCTCGCAGGGACGTTAGGTATGAAACTGACGCAATAAATAACGTTTAGGTCACGTGGGTGAGAAAGTTTCCAAACCGCGGAGACCCAGGTAAATGTCAGCTGCATGCTGGCCTTTGTCGCTCTTAGAGGCCTCGTTCTTCTCCCACAACCTCTTTTGCACCCTCACACGTGCGTGCAAGCACATCCAGACCCCCAGCAGGGCTGGGAGGAGGCTGGGCTGTGACGAGGCGGGGCAGGAGCTTTGCCTTTCTGTTTGGCCGGGCGGGCGGGCAGCGTTGTCTGCCGCGCCTCTCCAGGGTCTGCTTCAAAGGCCACTTGTGTCTTTGCATATGATTTAACTATCCATTGCAGATGTCTGCTTGGACGCGGCCATCTGTTCCCTGGCAATTTTCAAGTTCAAATTACGTGATTGCTCCCCTGAAGCGTGTTCTCTCTTGATTTGGCTCCTCGGTGTCTCTTCGCCTCTCTCCTGTTTCCTTTTATTCAAAATTACATTGACTGTTTCCCCCCACTTAAAAAAGAGGTATTTTTCTCCTTATAAAAGTGATACTGCACACCTAAAACAACTATAAAATTGTAAATCCTTCAATTAAAAAAAAGTGATACTGCACATGCTTTTTAAAAGAAAAAATGGAAAATATTAGAAAGTAAAAAGATGAGAATGAAGTCAGCCAGAACCCCACCGCCCAGAGAACTTAAACACTTCAGAATATTTCCTTTGCTTTTTTCTTTCTTTTTCTGTGCATGGGTTTTGCTTGTTTCCATGTGGCTGAGATCATAGTGTATGAAAAGTGTGATACCCTGCTTCCCTCACTTAACGTTATGACGTAAGTATTTTCCATGTTAGGAAAAACTTATCATAAACCTCATTTAAACGGCAATGTTACAGCCCCTAGGAGTGCCAGGCACAATTGTATTCGTCCTGAGAAAATACACAGACCATAAAGTTCACCATTTTAATCATTTTAAAGTGTACAATTTAGTGGCATTTAGTACATTCACAATGGCGTACAACCATCGCTGCTGTCTCGTTCCAGAACATTTTCATCATCCCAGAAGGAAACCCTGTACCCATCAAGCAGTCACTCCCCTTTTGCCCCTCTCCTCAGCCCCTTGAAGCCACTAATCTGCTTTTTGCCTCTGTGGATTTGCCTGTTCTAGGCATTTCATGTAAATGAAATCATACTACAATATGTGACTTTTTGTGTCTAGCTTCTTTCACTTAGCATCATGTTTCCAAGGTCCATCCATGTTGTAGCCTGTGTCAGTCCTTCATTCTTTTCTATGGCTGAGTAATATTCCATTGTATGGATAGACCACATTTTTAAAATTAATTCATCTGTTAATGGGTATTTGGGTTGTTTCTGCCTTTTGACTGTTATGAACAGTGCTGCTATGAACATATATGCTATTTATTTTGTTTGAACACATGTTTTCATTTCTTTTGTGTATCTGCCTAGAAGTGGGTCATATAGTAATTCTCAGTTTAACTTATTGAGTAGCCAGATTGTTTTCCACAGGGGCTGCCCCATTTTACATTCCCATCAGCAACATATGAGGGTTCCAACTTCTCTCACTCCTTGTCAACACTTGTTGTTTCCTGTTTTTTCAAAATTAGTATTAAAAGCATTCTGGGGGTAGGGTATAGCTCAATGGTAGAGTGTGTGCTTAGCATGCACAAGGTCTTGGGTTCTATCCCCAGCATATCCATGAATGAATGAATGAATGAATAAGTAAACAAATAAACAAATGTAATTACCCACCCCCAGAAAAAAGAATTTTAAAAAAAGCATTCTAGAGAGCATGAGTGGCATCTCATTGTGGTTTTGATTTGCATTTCCCTAATGACTAATGGCACTGAGCATCATTTCATGTGCTTACTAGCCATGTGTATGTTTGCTTTGTCC